TATTATTGGTGTGATATTACTTATATACTACGTATTTATTTTCCACTGCGACGAGAGGACCGCAAGAGACCTTTAGATTCACCGGAATAGACAGTCCTGATTGATGAAGTCCACTTTTTGGAGCCACGATTTAAATACATGCAACCCATCTTTTACCCGGCCATTACTTCACAGAGCGTCTTGGAGCAGGCCTTAAGAAATTATATAAGGCTCAGTTTTGGGGTTCGCTTCTGCACTGAACGTTATACTTATTGTACGTCGTTCTCTACACTATTGTTATTGCTAATGGATTTTGGAATTGGTCTCGCGGCAGAAGGGCGGCGGGCTCGTCGCGTCACGTGGGCCTAAGGTGGGACACTCGGGGATCTAAGAGTTGGAATTCGCGGGTTCTTGAAGCCTGACGGAGACACGGGCGGAGGTATGGATGCCGGTGTTGGGGAAGCAGATGAGTCCGTTCTGGCGGTATGACGAATACTGGACCTCCCGGATGGTCTTGAAGTTGTGGCGGGAAAAGATTTTAGCCGAGAAGATGCCTAGGGGATGAGAAGGACAGAAAATTAGGGGCACATTCTGACGTGAATTCCTTGTCGGTGTAATATATATGAAAAAGTGTGCTTCAAATAAAAATGCCTTTCGGTACCAATGTTTCGGTCGATGGTAGGCTGAAAATAAGCGAAAAGAATGAGGCTGTCTCACCTGTCGTCTCCACCACGAGGCAAGTGAAACCTTGATCCCGAGCAACCTTGCACGACTGTTCCACCAGCATGGAGGCGATCCCGCGACCGCCGTAGGATTTGTCCACGTTCAGGAGCTCGAAACTCATGAACTGCCGCAGAGGGGGATTATGATTAGTGACTTAAACTGTAACAAAGGAATATCAGAACAGCATTGAACAGCAGCATTTCTGTGAGTATGAATGCGAAATACACACACCCTGTCGACGCCATATTGTCCGAAGAAATCTATATCACTAGCCAGCTGTTGTAAGAAGGACATGATCCTGTACATCTTAGGATCCTTCTGAGGGTCAATCCAGTTCAGAAAGTCGTCGGGTCCCGGGGGGTCACCGCGCTTCTTGATGCTGTTGATAGCCACGCCCACAAGGCGCCCGTCGGCAGACTCGTCTATCGCCATCACTGATACGCCGTGGGAGATCTGCGAGAGCGACACGGGGAGCAGATTAATGCGCGTGGGAGATGGCTTCGTCTATTCGATATTTACTGTTTATGTGCATGTGTGCTTGTATAAAACAACTCGCGTAACAGGAAAAAGAATGATAACATCAGTAACTATAATGGTGATGGCATTAATATATAATGATAATGAAGATAATAAAAGGAGTAATAATTATAATGATAATGGCGATGGTGACAGTAACACGAACAACTAATGCAATATATAACTGTAATGAATAAATATGTGAATTGGATTTGCATTAAGAAACACACATAACTAAACTACACATTTAATTCAAAACAGTAAATGATACAACATAAATAACTATAAGAGATGATTAAAAAATACACACCATCAAACAGCTCTTACCAAGTGTGGCAGGATTTTGGAGAGCCAGTGATCAACCTCTCTGGGACTATCGAGGTAGAGGGCCTTCCCTAAGGGCTCGTCCTTGAAGAAGTGGTTGCACAGGAGGTCGACCGCTCTGTCCGCGTACTCCTGTGTGAGGATCTGGAGGGCGGGGAGCGGTCAGTTGAATTGGTGATAAGTAAATAGGTTTGTTTTAATTTGATGATTAAGTAGACGAGAGGGAGGGGGGAAAGCGAGAAATAGAAAGCAGAGAAAAGGAGAAAGGGGGAAAGGAAGCAAAGAAGACAAAAGAGAGGAAGAAGAGTAAGAGAAAAGCGTAAGAAGTAAACTAAAGTTTATTATTGAGCTCACCTTAAACACAATGTTCTCGTCATGTTTGTGAAGCACGTCGGGGGGAAGCTCGGGCTCCGCGGGGAGTTCGGGTTCCTCTGGTTCCTCAGTCACTTGGTTCCCGAGGTTCTGGGCTTCCTCCTCCTGCGTTGCGCTCTGGGCCAGGGGGTCCTGCTCCGGCTCACTCGGGGCCCCCTCGCTGCTCTCCGTGCCGTTGGGCTTGCGAGTGCCCAGGGGCGCTGGGGGGTAAGAGAACCCTGGAGTCAGCTTCGTAAACAGAGATGAAATGCATGAAATGGGTAGGAGGAATTCGAGGAATTGTATTGGGAAGTTCCTCTCGGATTTTTGTATACGCAATATTATGCGCGTGGATGCCTCTGAATTATCTATGGTAGCGAGTACTGCATCTAGAACACCAAAGTTAATGTTAATATTTGTGTCACATTCTATTTATAATCGCACTTTTAGAGTAGTCGTGTATAGGAGAGTATGTGGTCTAGAGATTGGACATAGAAAATGTAGATTTCTTATGAATTGTAGAAAACGGGGGTGTATCGGTAACTATTATAAAAGTACAGATTTTCCCAGGCGTTGCTATTTCATCAGAACTCTGGCCATCTTCCATTCTCTCTGCTTTTCGGCGTCCCAATATACAACGCAAACATGCAGTTTAGTATAAACGCACAAATTCACAAGCAAATGAATTAGTTTCTTCAGGCTATTTGAAGACAGCTGGAACGTGATTAAGATCTTATTTCAAGTGAAAGTGTTTTCTAAATAGAAATTTGATTAGTTTACGCTATATCCGATTGATGCGAAACGGAAGGAGAGTGCAAATATTGTGCGCGTCTATTCGCAACAGAAGACACGAAGGCGAACTCATTGAGGAATTAAGAAACAGGAAATTTCATCAAATTGAAATTCAAGTCAAGACAAACCTTATTATTAGGGAACAAACATCTCAAGGCAAATGTAGCTAATATTACTCTTTGTTTAATTTAGGAATATGAATGATGAGGCAGATGTGATATTTCTTAATTAATGGGATGGATGACTGGGATTGCCTGTTAGAAGTTAATTATGAGTAATGTTGTGTGAGACTGTTTACCGTAAAAAGGTGAAATACAAAAGTGGAAGTAAAGACTGAAATAAAAGATATACATGAAACGTAATTAGTTTAAGCAGCTTTGATGTTTGTAATTACGTAACGGCACTGTAATTAAGAATAACATTGGAAGGCTTAAATAAACAATTCTCAAGTAAATGATAAATAGAATAGCCAAATATGCATTATGGATATGAGCACCCTTGTGAAAATATGAAGATAAAGTAAGATGAATAGATAAATGTAAATAAAGATAAACTGGATAAAAAAAACGAAAGACAAACAAGCCGACAACACGAAACTGCACCACAATCCTCGCACGTTTGTTTTCCCTCCGAGCTACATATACAACGAGGATCTCCTTCCGGCCGCCGCTGCTCTCCCGAGCGCCCTCTCCCTCGCCTCCCGCTCCGCCTCTTTATTATGCACGACGAGGATTCATAAGGGGCGGGGAAGGGGCGAATTATGCCGGGGCACGGAGGGGGCGGGCGCGTGGACAAGGGGGCGCGCGGGACACTCACTGATGGACACGGGCAGGACGAGGGAGAGGAGGGAAATGTAGAGGGGGAGGGAGAGGGAGGGGGTGAAGGAGTGTATGTGGGACAGAGAGAGAGAGAGTAAGAGAGAAAAGTGAAAGTGGTGGTAAGAATGGAGAGAGACAGACAGACAGACAGACAGACAGACACAGACAGAGTCATTAGGGAGGAACACATCTGCATGTCTGTCTGCATGATTGTTTAATCTGTATGTCAAGGGAGAGGGGAATTCGCAAAGAGAAAAAACCGATGCATTGCCAATGGGGAGGACGAAGAGACGGGAAATGAGGATTAAATATTGATGAGGATAAAAAGAGGGAGAGGAAGGATATGAAAAGTAAGCGTTCGGGAGACGAGGCTCAGTGAAAATCAAATAGAATGCGGGAAACAGAAATGGGTGGAAGGAAAAGGTAATGAGAGAAGGACATTGAAAGGCATTGAAAGAATATGCAAAGATCAATATGAATTATGGAAAAATAAAACTAAAGTCACCTTGGAAGGTGTCTAGATATATCAACAAACTTGAAGATAAAGGGACCAGATAAATGATAATAGGTTGAAAGACACATGCACGCACACAAAACACGCTTACGCACACACGCACAAATACAAATATATATATGTGTGTGTGTGTGTGTGTGTGTGTGTGTGTGTGTGTGTGTGTGTGTGTGTGTGTGTGTGTGTATGTATGTATATATATATATATATATATATATATATATATATATATATATATATATATATATATATATATATAATATAACATTATATATGTCATGTGATACAGCGCAGCGTAGCTCCAAATGAAAGTAAAGAGAATTGAGAATAGAAGAGAGAAAGGGTAAAAGGATTTCCCAGACACAAGCAGGAGCGCCGCTTGATAAGCAGGGAGAAAGGAGCCTTGTCAGGCAGGATAGAAGGAGGGAAGGCGGCAGGGAGAGACGGTGCAAGGGAGCGAAGGAATCAATACGTTCCGTGGAAATCCCAGCATCGCTGCGTTACTCTAGCCTTAACCAGACGGCGGTGTCGGTAGCGGCGGGGACCTGGCTATCGCAGTTCCCGAGGAGGGCAACCGAGGTCACAGCTCCCTCGGGGCCGTGGGTTTGCTAACATCCGCCCCCCCCCCCCTCCGCCGAGTAAACAGCGCCGGAGAGAGGACTCGCTACTCTCAAACATACGCGCCTACTTCTCTCTACTCTCCTCCCCTCCCCCCGCGCATGCTCATCTCCCGGAGCACATTCTCTAACAGTGTGTCGCTATTCACGCACGCACGCCGGGGTGGTTTTCTATGACGGTATCTGCGTAAGAACACAAAAGAAGTTGAAGACACGGTTGGTGTTGGTAATAGCAGGATAATGTGTTGACAATAGGGTGATGTAAGCACTATGTTTTCACTGAGTGCGTGTGTGTGTCTGCTTGCCTGTCTATCTGTGTGTGTGTGTGAAAAATTCTTGATCGTGTCTAAGGCAGACTATTCGCCCATAAATTTTTAAGTGGCTAATTCTCGGAAAGTGGGCGTATGAATGCCTGGGATGGAGAATTCGGGGAGATGAATCTCTCTCTTTTTCTCTCTCTCTCTTTCTCTTTCTCTTTTTCTTTCTCTTTCTCTTTTTCAACCCAAATCAGCGTTTGTGAAAATGGCTTGAGTGACAGGAACTTGGCCGCTCAGTCTCTGTACAGTTGAGTAGACGCGGCGTTGGTAATGTCAAATTGATAATCTTAATTGGATGCGTTTAACCTAGGTATCTGAGGATTTGCGAGCGAGCGAGCGCGCACGCACGCACACACACACACACACACACACACACACACACACACACACACACACACACACACACACACACACACACACACACACACACACACACACACACACACACACACACACACATATATATATCATGGAATATCAAATGAGCTCGAAAGAGAAACAGACAGCATGCAAAGACAGATTGTGTGTGAGTATGGTATAAAAGTGTAGACGACAATGAGAGAAAATACAAAAAACTACAAAATAGAACTTAGTTTCCCAGCACAGTTTTATATACACTCTCGCTCGAATGTATGAGTCGTTCATGCCACGGTAAAACATCTCATTAAGCGGGTGAAATATGGCACCACGGAATTTATCCCTCCCCCCCCACTCCCCACTCCTCACTCCCATTAAGGACACTGAAGGACTCGTTTCCGATATCGGGCCAGCCGGTAGTAGTGTGGTAAAGTGCCACTTCATGCGGATACTCTGTAGTGCCACATTGGACGTGGAGAATGAAAGGATTCCCCCCTTGCCCTTTCCCTCGTGCGCCTCTACCTAGAACTGCCTATATTCTGGAGGATTTAATGGGGATAGGAATGGGGGGGAGGGGGTAACGAGAGTTGTATCCCCGGAGAGTAATGCGAGGACTGACCCTCGCCACGAGCCAATAGCTGATGCGGGCGAGAATGAGAAGGGACAAAAGCATTTTTCGAAGGTAGTCCGTTCCCCTTCTGCATACCTCAGCGTAGAGGTTAAGATCGGGGGGGGGGGGGGTATATAATACCCATAGTTTGCTTGCGATGGTCCGCTTTGGCGCTACAATGTGCCAAAGCCTCAACACTCGGAATCGAAAGAACTTCACGGCTGGAAGGAGATCGGACAGTTAACGAGGAAAGACGCAGCGCCCAAGAGACCCACTTCTAACGCGGGTGTAAGACCCACACAAACTAGTTGCAGTAATGCAAAGTCAGACACATTTTCTGCTTTTAGGTACGGGCCTTGCAGCTTCGCCGGAATTCTGTGGCTGATGTAAGGGAAATAGTAGCAGGAAGAAGAAGAGGAAGAGGAGAAGGAGGAGGAGGAAGAAGAAGGATGAAATGGAAAAAAAATATACTGAATGAGAACAAGAGGAAGGGGCGATTGGCAATTCATATAATCGAGAAAAAAGAGAGAAAAAAGCAAGAGACTTTATTAGTGGGAGGCTTCTCTATTGGAAGTGCGGTCGAACACGGGATGGAGGACCTTTGTTATTGTATGGCGGTAATTACATTGATTGGGAGAAGGAGAGGGCAGCGTATATTGGCTTCCTAGGGTTCCATGTGTTTTCCCATGTGGGTTTGCTTCCTGGTGTTCGGATGTATAGGTTTTGTGTAAGTGAATGGATGCGTGTGTGTGTTGAACTGATACATGTGTCATTTTATACACACGCATAACCAGAGACATGCACACGCACACTCGTTTTTTTTTTTCTTTTCGTTACTTAACTTTAAAGAAGCTTCTGGCTCCTAACCCTTTCCTAGAATCTGCTTTGATCATAACTGTTTTGTGGAGAGGAATTACCGCTGAGAGGATCTCTAAAGGTCTCGTGATTAGGAAATTAGTAGGGGATGAGACGGGGGAATGAGGGAAAGGGAGAAGACGATAAGAGAAAATTGTGCAAAAGGTAAGCGAAATGTTGGGAAGACAAACCTTAGAATAGCAGAAATCGAAACATAATTTATAGTATACACACGCACATGCACACGAAAAATCTCACACACAGCTAAGTCCGGAAGGATATTCAGTCATTTATCACCTTTTACCTTAAGAGTCCGTGAAGGTCTGTCAGTACCCGAGGTAATTCGCGCTCCTCGAAGCCATTAGTATCGATTACCGTTTCAGAGCTGTTATTTCGAAACAAAATTGATAGCCTGCGGGGTATTGATGTTTAATGTAACGCATGTGTTGTGTATGTAAGAGTTGCGTAAGCGAAAGGGGCATTCATGGTACGTCTGATTTGATATCGTTATCCTTTTTGCGACGTTAATGTATTCTTACTGCCGATCCCTTATCCTTTTCTGGAGTGTGATGTTGCATCTTTGAAATGACGTTTTTAACCAGAGGACGTATCAATTTTCCAGACTGCCAGCCAACGTCAAGACGTCCTTTGCCTGAGAGCGTCGAATATTTAACCCAATTTGCTTCGCACAACGTCAGAGTGGATTTCAATACGATTAGCTCCCACCTCA